AATTTTCACCAAAGATTCACAACAGCAGTTTAAACTTTAAACTGCTTGTGAAAAATGGGGGTCTGTAACATTAAAACATGCATGGCACTGCAACTGTATCATGCTTCTCTTCTCATCGGTTTCCTCCTCATCAGCTTCATGTTGCGCAGCTCTGTGCCACCTTCAGGAGAACAGGACATAAGAGTATCATCTATAAAATTTACCCCACATGGCATACTAATGTGCAAAATGAACGGTTTGCTTCATGGTAACCCGTGGAAGAATTTGTTTATCTGAAATTGGAGAACTGTGATACAATCCGTATATGTACTCTCTGTCCCCCTCCCTTATTTCAACTTTTACAACTGTCTAATCTGCTATTAAGATGCGGTAACGCGTTGTTCCGAGCCGTCTTTAAACGCACTATGTGGGTCAGACACAGCGGCAGACTGGCTGTCTGTGAGTTCTGGACGATCACAGGACGGCTGGTGTTCTGTCTGGTCAGGCGGCTACAAAATGCTGCTACCGCTGTTAAGTGCCAGGAGGACTGCGACCAGTTATACATCGGGGAAACAAAGCAGCCACTGTTCAAAAGAATGTCCCAACACAGACGAGCTACGTCTAATGGCCAGAACTCTGCAGTTTTCACTCATTTACAGGCCAGCGGTCACTCTTTCAGAGATGAGGATGTTCTTGAATAATTGTGTGTTTGAATAATTCCATTATTGATCAATCAGCACTTTGGTTCAGATTGTGTGACTTTAAAGGTTTTATCAAATAAATTAATGTGAACATGTTGTGCTAAAATATAATTGGATTATAAACTCACATAACACAGATTAATGTTTTTATTTGTTTCACCACCTACTGTATGTATTTTTGACAATCTTTTTCATGTCCACATGGAGGTGCTAAAGCACCCTCAACACCCCACTTTCCTCAGCCTTGTTTGTGTTTATGATTTCACATCCATATCATATGGATGATGATGGTGGTCACATCATATGACCACCAGCTTGGGTTAAATACAACAACAGAAGTAAACAAATGTGAAAATCTTAGTCACAATTACCTATTTTTGTCATTTACATGATCATGTTTTATTCTTGGTTTATATTATCATTTTGTCTTTTAAAACTATAGACACCTGAAACCTGTTATTTTTATTGTTTCAAAAATGATCTTTTTATGTTTTTTGTGGTGAAAAACTGACAAACAGTATGTGTATTTCTGTCTGAAACAATAAAACAAACACAAATTACTTTAAATTTAGAAATTTGTTCCATTTATTTTATTCAGCATTATTCTTTAAATTTTACTGTTTTTTCTTTAAACTGCAGCATATTTAGTATTTTTTTTAACAAATCAAATTACAAAATGCTCCACCTGATCAAAAATACAATGTAACCTTTGTTTTTGTATATATTTTTATGTATTTAACTTTATTTCCAATAAAATGTTTTCCATAGAAGCACACTAAGTTCTCCTAAGTTCCTTCAAAACTTTTATTTCTCTGTGAAATCTGCTCCAACTACTGGCTACAATGACGACCAGTGTAGCTTTTAGCTACTGTTTTGCTAATTTTAAGTTTTAGCTATGGTTTTACTTGCTGTTTTGTATAGTTTGGCTCCTGTTTTAGGTTCTAGCTACCGTCCTGATCAGCTGTGTTCTTTATATTTTAGCTTGACTTCTGTTCCTTTCAGCTGGTGTTCAGCATGTTAAAGCGTCTGCTCATTGAATTTTAACAACTTTCTTCTATTGTCTTTATGAAAACTTTCCAGATGAAGCTGAAGATGTTCAAATACTTCTAAGATGTTCAGATTATAAATCACATTCCTTTCTGTTTACCTGAACAAATAGTTTCTAAATGTGGGAATAAAAGACTCTTTTCTTCAGCAGAAAGCTGAGATTTGACTGATTGTTTTTATTTTGGTCTCAACAGCTGATGAAACAAAACTAGAAACCCATTGTAGGGAAGTTTAAAGGGTCTGTAGAAGTGACGTGAGTACAGTACTGAAAAGCCGCGTTCCAACTGGTCTGACTGGTTTTTGATTGCAGTTCTGACCTGCATTTATGAAGTTATGAGGATGTGACTTTCCTGAAACCAGCTGGGCTGACGAGTCATTACAGCTTCGGCTCTCCAAGCATTCACTTCAAGCCTGGATGTTACTCCTCTCGAGTTTTAAAAACAAGGCTCAACACCGTTCCTGGCTTTCAAGAGACGTTTATTTTGGACTGTTATGATTCTTGTCTGTGTTAAAGTTTTATTTTAGTTTTTGTCTTGTCATCTGTTTTCTTCCTCCTGTCTGCAGCAGTATTTTATCCAGTCTCAGTTTAGTTTTATTTTTTTCATCTCATGTCCCAGTTTACCTGCTTAGTCTTGTTCCCAGCCTTTCAGTTCACATCCAGCACCTACTCATTGTTTTCGCCCCTCCCGTCACAGAAACTCTAATCAAGCTCATTCCACTCACCTGTTTGTGCTCATTAGTCTCACCTTTATATTCTGTCTCTTGTCTTCACTTCCCTGTCGAGTCATTGTTTGTTAATGTTTGGTTGTATTCCATATTGTGCCTTGTCCTACCTTGCCATGTCTCTCTGAGGTTTTTGAGCTGCCCAGTCAGCACCTTTTTGTTTAAATAAATTCTTTGTTTTTTTGGAGCTTTTGCACTGCCTGCATCATGGGTTCATTCCTGACTGAGAATCTTAACATGGACCATGTCTTTTACATGCCCAAATAATGCTGTCAAAACTAAGAAAAGAAATATACAGCAGGTAAAATAAGTATTGAACACGTCACCATTTTTCTCAGTAAATACATTACTAGAGGTGCTAATGACTTGAAATTTTCACCAAATGTCAGTAACAACCCAAGTGATCCATACATACAAAGAAATCAAACCATAAATGTCCAGAAATGA